TTTAATTGTGTATTAATTTATAATTCTTTATATATTTTCAATATAGAATTGTCAGATATATGAAATTCAAATATTTTCTCTGAAAGGTAGCTTGCCTTTTCAGTGTCTTAATGATGCTTAACTTGATGAACAAAAGTTCTTGCTTTAAATGAAATCCAGTTCATCCAATTTATTTTATATTTGGTGCTTTCTATATTCTCTTTAAAAAATAGTGGTCAATTTTATCATGAACATATTTCCTATGATTTTTTCTACAAGATTGAGTGTTTTATCTTTCACATTTATGTCTTTGAACTCCCTAAAATCAATTTTTGTGTAAAATAGGAGTGAGGTAATACATATTTTTCATGGAGCCAGCTATTTAGGACACTAGAATGTAAAAAGATAAAGGGGTGTTAGAAGTGGGATAATCAATGCACAGCTTATGTTTGTTGTTTTGATCACTTTGCAATGTAACCTAATAATGCATTTTGATATTTAAAAAACAAGGAAGTTAATCGTATGCAATTAGGAAAGGTCACTCGAGTTGATCTCCACAAATCATAGTTTTAGCAGTGCCATACTAAATTGTACCTTTTTTTCAGTGAGATGCCCAAATCAGTCTTTTACTGTTCTGAGATATTGAATCATTTAGTGCTTTTGGTCACATCTGAGAGCAAACATTGTGGAGAATCTGAAAGAACACTAAAATAGCTTTCTAATGATTTAAATTCAAGTTCTAGATCGGCCTGGTGGTTCAGTGGTTAAAGTTCTCAGCTGCTAACCAAAAGGTCAGTGGTTCAAACCCACAAGCTGCTCCGCAGGAGAAAGATATGGCAGTCTGCTTCCGTAAACATTACAGCCTTGGAAACTCTATGAGGCAGTTCCACTCTGTCTTATAGGGTCTCTGTGAGTAGGAATCAATTCAACGTCAGTGGGTTTGGTTTGGGGGGATTTCTAGATTGGCCATTAATTAGCTATGGCTTTTTGTAGTACACACTCATAGTTTTTTACGCCCTATACTCTTCACTTCTTCTAAAAGCAACAATCTCCTCCTTCTGGGAGCTACACTTGCCCATTTCCCAAACATTAAGAATTGCAATGTTTACATTTTCCTATTCCTCCTTCCTGAGTGGTTTAAAACCAAAACCAAATCCATTGCTATCAAGTCGATTCTGACTCATAGTGACCTATAGGACAGAGTAGAATTGCTCCATAGGGTTTCCAAGGCTGTAATCTTTACGGAAGCAGACTACCACATCTTTCTCCCACTGACTGGTTTAGAAACTACCATATTCATGCTTGTTTCCCATGGTTCTCCACTTGAAAGGTATTGCTGCATAGATGGGCATCTGTTCCACATTGAAACTATCAGTGCTGTTCTCAAGCTATTTGAGCCTGGTCCATAAAGAGAAGTAGCCACTCTATTCTGGTGGCTGAATTTTTAAGCTGTAAAGCCCAGAAAATGTCATTGACCATGTATCTGGCTACGTGGAGAAAGCTGGGCTGTACTGAGAGAGAAAAAGTTTTATTTAAGTAGTATAAGATCAATGAGAGACACTTGGTGATGTTCAACTCCCTGGCTGCAGTTGTTTCTGAGATCCAACTGCAAATATTCCTGTCCAGTCCTAGATTGTTCCACCTACTCTAGAATGAGTACGCTGATGATCTGATCCTTGCAGCCAACAAGAGTCTGAACTACTAAATTTGGGCCAGACTCCAGGTTCCCATGTTTAAAGAAAGAAACATGAAGGATTTAGAGCCCTAAATCTCATCTAGTTTTCAACCGGCATCCAATCTCAGCCATCTCCCTAAGCTATGTGATAAAAACATGCTGCATTTTTTCACTCAAAATATAATTGGATTGTATGTCTCAAAGAGTCAAATGTTAATAGAAGAGTCTCTGGAAAATACTTTAAAAAAATAAAACATAGACTAGAACTTTAGTTGATAGAATTTCAAAATCATATATACTATATATACATACAACCACATATATCATAAACAGTAGTATATATGATATGTATATATTTATATATGTGTATATGGGGCCCTGGTGTTGCAGTGGTTAAGTGTTTGGCAGCTAACCAAAGGGTCAGCAGTTCTAAACCAAACCAGCCATTCCTTGGAAACCCTATGAGGTAGTTCTACTCTGCCCTTTAGGGTCACTATGAGTCAGAATCAACTTCAAGGCAATGAGTTTTTATATGCATATGTATTTGTAGTACTGTGGTGGACCGATGTTGCTATGATGCTGGAAGCTATGCCACCAGAATTTAAAATACCAGCAGAGTTACCCATGCTGGATAGGTTTCAGCAGAGCTGCCAGACTGAGACAGACTAGGATGAAAGGCCTGGTAATCTACTTCTGAAAATTAGCCAATGAAAACCTCATGGATCACAAGAGAACATTGTCCAACTGGCTTGCTTTGGACACTTCACCAGGAGGAATCAAACACTGGAGGAGGATATCATATTTGGTGAAGTAAAGGGCCAGCAAGGACGACCTGCGGTGAGATGGATTAGCACAGTAGCCACAATGATGAACGTGAACATGCAGGGGATTGTGAGGATGACACAGGACTGGGAGACATTTTGTTTTTTGTACATAAGGTCACCATGAGTCAGAGTCAACTCAATAGCAGTGATAGAACAATCAATATATATTTGTGGATTAAAACAGTTTATGATATGTTCCCTGAGACCATGGTCCCCACAGCCCTCAGCCCAGTAATTTGGTCGGGGAACATCTGGCTCAATTGGCATAACAGTTTATAGATAAATGTTCTACATTCTACTTTGGTGAGTAGCATCTGTGGTCTTAAAAGCTTGTGAGTGGCCATCTAAGATACTCCACTGGTCTCACCCCATCTGGAGCAAG